CAACATTAGTAATCATCAAGAGTTTGGTTATTAAAGACAAAATGTCCATGGTGAACATAGTAGAAATAAAAATGCTACAACAGGCGTAGTCATACTAAAGTGAATAAAATCATAAATGAAAATATATCAGTAATTTAATCAGATTAGACCTTACTTATAACAAAATATATAAACAGTAACTGAGCTTGCTAATAACATAAATAACTTGTTTGGCTAAGCTTTAAAAGTTACTTTACAGAACCTTTACTTTATTTTAGACTTCGCCAAACATGCTCAAAGACAAAACACGATATCCAGGGAAAAGGAAATTCTTCATGTTCACCACTACAAAAACCAAATTTATTCATACTGCTTAAAGTGATTCTAACATGCTTTTGATAGTAAATTTCACATCTTCCTAACCACGATTTGAACATTACCTCAATAATCATAACTAACACGTTCGATTAAATGACAAGTTAATATTAGAAGTCAAAAAAAATATAAAGAAAAACTAAGTGTTCCATGTAACTGTGACAACAATCGGTTATATGGTTACCCTAAATGAACTCTATATATAGATTAATCTACACGATCACCTCAAAATACAATGAAGAACCAAGCAGACGGTTATGAAAATTGAACCACGGTAAAAAGAAAACATAAATAAAATAAAATTCGTATAAATAAGACGCAAATTGAGAAAAATACTTTCAGCCTGTAAATAAAACTGATTGATGAGTAGTTCTTTAGGAATAATTGAAAATGAGATATTTTACCTGCATGCAGGTATCGTCCCAGTCGTGGCCAAATCGGATAATGACGAGGCGTTCTTCTTCAGCGAGGATAGCCTGATCCAACGCCCATCCAGAGTGGAGATGGGGCAGCAAGTACGACATCGTCTCTCCTTTCTCTCTCTAAAACTTTCTCTGTTCCCTCAGAATCCGATTAATTCCAGTGAAAACTTCTGCGTTTATTTTGCACTGTGAAGGTTCTGGAAGATGCGCGCTCTGAAGGTTCTGGAATCCGCGGCCACACTATTGTCTCTTTCCTTCCAATTTTCTCCCATAAAAGTGCTAAAATCTCAAAATTTACTTTTAGAAATTAATGATTATGGTACACGAGCTTGTTTGGTAGGGATTAAAATCGGATTAAAATTAAAAAATTAATCGTTATTGTTGACTTTTATTAGACGAGTGAGACCCAATAACGGTTATATTTTCAATTTTAATTAGATTAAAATTTCTACCAAACAAGCTCTAAATATTTTATTCCTTTAAACTTATTTTAGTCTGATTTTGCACGTGAACTTACTTCTAACCAGACATTATTCAGAAAAATCACATTACACAAAATATATTAACAAAATAACTATATCAAATATGCCATGTATAACACTTGGATCAAAATTATTATTACAAAGAGATTTGTTACATTTATAGATCTAATAATCACTCCAACTAATCAATAATATTGCAATCCATATTTTCAAAGTTTGATTTAAAAACGGGATTTTGGCAATTGGGGATTAAGGAAGAAGAAAGGCAGGAGACAGAAATCATCACTACCAATGGACGATTATGCCGTTTGGTCTTAAGACAACCCCTTCATTGTTTCAAAAAGCTATCACAAGAATTTATCATCCAATACTAGAATTAGCTTTAATCTATATTGATGATATTCTCTTGTTCTTAAAGGATGCAAATACTCATTCTCAATTGTTGTTTAGGTTCACTGATCTGACGAAACAATTTGGAGTTATGCTTTCTCAGAAGAAAATGGTTATTGGGGTTTCTGAGAGTGAGTTATTGAGTATGCATATTAAAGATGGTCAATATTCATTGCAGCCACGTGTTGGTCAAGAACTTTAAAGTTCGCAAAGACGGTTCTCTCTAAAAAGGAAGTTCAACAGCTCCTCGAAATTGTGAACTACATAACAGACTTTGTTGATCATCTATCTCCTATTATTAGACTATTGTAGAACATGTTGAAAAGGATTCACCACCATGGTTTTCAGAACAAATAGAAACAGTTCGAAAAATTAAGCGAAAAGTACAAGAACTCCCAGCCTTGTCTATTCCTACTGATGGGAAAAAGGATTTTACAAATTGATGCAAGTAATTTATACTAGGCAACAATTCTCTTAGAAGAGAAACATATGCAGATATAAAAGTAGATCATTCTCTGAAGCATAAAAACATTATCATTCCACTATCAAAGAAATTTTTGCGATTAAATGTGGCATTGAGAAATTTCAATTTCATCTCATTGGACACAAATTCTTAGTTGAAATGGATATGTCATCATTCCCTAAAATGCTTTCATTTAAACAGAAAAAAAAATTCCAAACTCTCAACTGCTCAAATGGGCAGAATGATTTTCAAACTTTGACTTTGATGTCAAACA